GTGTGGTGTTTGGGGTTTTTTTGACCAAAACGTGCTCTTGCCTTTGTTGAGCTTTTCTCATTTTAGCTGGTACTCTCAGGTAGAACAGATTCAGCTCCCACAAGTACTTACCCATTTTAAAACCCTCTGTCTGAGTGCCAGAGGTGTGAATGACCAGGAAGATGCATCTGCCTTTCAGTCATAACCTCTAAGAGCAGTTGGCCTGTAGCTGAAGCTGATGTAACTTTTAAGGCCAGTAGGATGAAAGGACTGAAAAGATCCCAGTTTCCTTGGGATGAATTGTATAGTATAGCTGGCTTGTTCTGCTCCCCCAGATGATTGGAGACAAAAGGGAATGTGCTTTTTATTTTTGTTTTTATTTATTTATTTATTTATTTATTTTTGCTGTAACCCATTAAATCAAGCAATATTTATCACTTTATGCATGGAATTAGATTTTGCAATGTTCACTCAGAGTTGGGAAGCCTCTGCTCATTTAAGGAAAGAAGTTAATTTTTATCAGGTATTGTTTCAGAAACATAGTTATTAATACCCATTTATAGGCACTTTTGCCTAATGTTGAAGGGGGAAACATTTATGCAAGGATTTATTTTTTTTAAAGATGTCTTTCTGTAAATATATGTAGTGTAGGACTAGTTAATTTACAGTAAACCTTCATTATCCAGCACCTTACAAGCCAGAATCCTCTATTAACCGGCAAACTGGCTTGTAAGGTAAAAGCGAAACTGGAAGTGCCCACTGTGGTACTTCCAGTTTTGCCAAGCCCCTATGGCCCAGGCCAAAGCAGCCTGCGCTGCTGACCCCCACATCCTGGGGCATAGCAGCCTGCACAGGGCCCACTTCCCTGCTCCAGACACAGCAGGAGAGGCAGCAGCCTGAACAGGCAAAGATGCCTGTTCAGGCCTCTCAGGGAACTAGCATATTTTGTTATCTGGCACCCCCCGTTTCCCATGGGTGCCGGATAACAAAGCTTTTGCTGTGTATATATAAATTGACTAGTCTTACAGTATTTGCTATAATGTAGCAAAATACTGAAACAGTCAACCTCAGCACAAATTCATAACTGTTATAATTGTTTTTTTGTAATTATTAAAAATGAAATGGGATTGACTGATGCTTGTTGGAGCAAATTAAAAAAGCAAAACACACGCAATGTTAAGAGCAGACTTCTCTTTCCCTTCACGAGCTCAAATGCCTATTTCCCAGCCATATAACTGCCGGTTTTGGCACTTAACAAGGGGTCGGTGTGGGCAGGTATGCAGCTTGGTATGTGTTGAATGGAGTGGAAGTCCCAAAAACTGCGGTCTGAGGAGGACAGACCTTCTAGGGCTTTAGCCCAGTAACTGGGTGATTAAGGTGCTCACCCAGGAAGCAGGCGACAGGTTCTAGGCTCCCTCACC